GGGCACCTTCGCGAACGACATAGCCGTCCTGGTTCTGGAGAGCAAGGCCAAGTTCAGCGAAGTGGTGACGCCCGTGTGCGTCAACTGGTCGCCTGAAAACAACGTGGATCTGCGTCCCGGTGTAAAAGGCAAGGTATGGCCTAGGGCGCATTAAAAAAAAAAAAAAGTAGCCCGCCACAATAACGAAATGTTTCTTTGTCCACTCATTTGCATGACTTGTGCGTCCAGTTGGCAGGATGGGGCAAGTTAGAATCGACAGGGGAGGCAAGTGAGACACTCAACGCAGCCACGGTGCCCATCGTCGCCAAAAACGAGTGTTTTCAAAGTCTTCCACCCGCCATTCAAAGATACATAACCCAAGACAAGATTTGCGCAGGGTTTCTGCGAGGTGAGAAAGATAAAAAAAAATTAAAACGAAAAACTAAATCATGTTACAAGCTACAGAATGAAACAAACCCTTCATCACGGTGCAATGGCGCCTGCTACGCGCTGGGTAGGCCAACCCGCCTAGCACCTGTGTGGAGACGGCGGCCCGCCCAAGCGACCAAGTGTGAAGGCTGGGGGGCTACGGGCTCTTCGGCTTCGGGCAACAGAACGTTTGATTAACGGACTTTAACCGTGACGCATGTGTTGTCTGCTTGCAGTTCCTTCTGGCATAGTACCGAACCCCTCACAGGGGGACAGTGGGGGAGGTTTATGCTTCGTTGACAAGAAAAACACGTGGTACGTGCGAGGTGTTGTCAGTGTGGGTCTCAGAGAGTACCCTATCAGCCTCTACACCAACGTCAACCACTTCCAGGACTTCCTCAGAGACATACGCGATAAAATCGCCATTCAAGAAGCAATTAATCGTGAATTCAATGATAAAACACGAAAGTAATTAAAAGTTTTGTAAAATGAATAGCAAAGACATTTTATATTGCTCCCTATAAAGTAATATCAAATCTTGACGGACTTATTAAGCAAATTAAACATCTAAGTATTTTCGTAACTTAATGGTCATCAAATCCGGGCATAGGGAAGCTTGAGGCAAATGATTTAACATCTGACTTAAGGGCAGACATTCTTCTAATAATATCCTGATCACTGGCTAGAAAAGCATGGTACTCTTTCATGGTTTTTCCTGAAATCAATGAACCATTATCAATCTGTGATCTCAACCACTTTCAGTTTCAAAAGATATTTGATGAATCATTGTCAACAAACCAGCTTTGCTTTTCGCTACCGCTGCAATATCAACAGCTACATCTAGAAAATTAACAACTTCCTCAAAATCTTTCTCTTTGAAGTTTCTTGAAGTTAGAGCAGGGGCACCTAAACAACAAAACAATTCATAGAAAAAGCTATGCCACAATATTCTGTTTCTTTTGTAGAAAATTTTTAAAAATAAAGAACTTACCAAGCCTTAGTCCACTTGGATAAAGAGCTGATTTGTCACCGGGACAGCTATTTTTATTGGCAGTAATGTGAGTTAAATTACAAACAGCCTCCACACGAGCACCGTCCAGATCTAGGATAGTAAAAGCACAAAACTAGTTTCTTTGAAGTGCACTCTGAGAGTGGAAGGTATTAAACTTTATGATTGGGACTTACTTTTTGATCGAAGATCAACTAAGACAAGATGATTATCTGTTCCTCCAGAAACCAAAGTATATCCTTTTTTTAATAGGGCATTAGCCATAGCTTTGGCATTTTTTAAGACCTGTTGTTGGTATAAAACAAACTCTGGGGATGTAGCTTGTTTTAGAGCCACAGCAACTGCTCCAATAGCATGATTATGAGGACCTCCTTGCAAAGAAGGGAAAACAGCTGCATCGATACGGTTTTCAAAATCGTAGTAAATCGGTTGGTTTGATTTAGGATTTGTCCCCTTGATGCCTTTCCGGTAAAATATCATGCCTGACCTAGACAATGACATGAAACAATGGAGTAAACTAATTTTAATCTTCTATAAAATGGGCAAACATGAAGTATTAGTTCACTGACCTTGCTCCTCTTAAAGTTTTGTGAGTGGTAGTTGTCACAACATCGGCAAAATCAAAAGGACTAGGAATGACTTGTGCCGCAACTAATCCAGATATATGTGCTATGTCTGCCAACAAAACAGCTTTTACTTGATCACAAACCTGAAAAGAAAATTATTTTATCAAACATTCTGAAGATTTGTCTTTTCCGTAGAAATAATTTATTATACATAGATGGATACAAACCTCTCTAAATTTTTGGTAGTCTAATAGTCTGGAATATGCAGAGGTTCCGGCAATAATCATTTTAGGTCGGAATAAAACAGCTGTTTCTCTTAACTTTTCATAATCAATTGTCCCAGACTCAATATTGAGGCGGTATGGCATAGACTCAAAATAGACAGATGTAGCAGACACCCTCTTTGTGTCAGTCATAAAACCATGAGTGAGACTAATGAGGAAAACAGGTGTTAATGACATAGATACTTAATAGATTAATATTAATGTATGTCGCCATGTATAAGTAGCCAGTATACTCACTGTCCACCATGAGGAAGATCCAAACCCATGATGCGATCATGCGGCTGCAGCAGTCCAGTGTATGTGGCAAAGTTTGCTGGAGAACCAGAATATGGTTGAACGTTAACTCCCCACTTCTCTGGATCTAAGTGAAAAGCTTCTAAAGCTCTTTTACGGCAGAGGTTTTCAATTTTATCAATTACCTCTGTTCCTCCATAGTATCTAGAAATTATAAAAGAATTACATTTTTATACACTTTGATCAATCTAATGAATTACAAGAATTTATTTATTTTTATAATCTATAAATTTTTATTTTTATTTTAGTCACCTTTGACCTGGATAGCCTTCAGAATATTTATTGTTTAGACAGGAACCCAAAACTTCCAAGCTTGCTTTACTGCAAAAGTTCTGCAACAGACAACATTTTAAAAATCCTTTCATACAATGCTGAACTCAACCCAATGAAATTTTGTTTTTACTCAATAATAGTCAAATTTAGGCATAAAGTAAAAAACAGTCAAAATGATTAAAAGTGAATGTTTCGTGTGGGTACTCACCTCTGAGGCAATCAATTCTAATCCATTTTTCTGACGCTGTTTCTCTTCTTGCACCAATTGCCACATTTCAGGATCATCATGTTGGACAGACTCTTGTCCTGTCCAGCCACTGGAAAATCTTAAATTCTGCAGACTACTTTGGAAAGACTCCTGTTTCACAACCTTGGGATTTCAAAAAAGTATGTGATAAACTTGTTATTTACAAGAAACTAACCTCTATCGCTCAATGCAATTTGCTG